ACGCCCTAAGATTCTTTTTATGAGCATGACCCCAGTCTTGTATGTCCAGTCCCTCTCATTGATCAGACTACCGGAGAACTTCGTTTCTTGAAAACCAGTTAGACATCAGCATGATGCCATTGGAGAAATCGTGAAGCTTTCATGAAGTGCAGACACCATTCCAAAAGATGAGTACACATCTGGAACTTCCCTAGTGGGATTCGGTACACGAAGATCACCGAACATCACTCGTTTCGGCCAGAGGAGGGTCTTGACCAGAGGAGTGTCTAGGATAAGATCACAGAAAGAGAGAAGAAAAACACAGAGGCTGAAGCTTTGCATCTGAAGGAGAAGATGGGTACAGGACCCCCAGCAATTCTTCTCCATCTTGTCAGATTGTTTTCAGCGGAATGTCCCACATCAAAAAGTCACAGACTACTTGTTTGCTTTTGCATTCTGGCCCCTTCTTTTGTGCTCCCGACATGTGCCATGAGAGCGCCGTTGAGTATGTATATCACTTGAAGATATGAGTCGGGCACCGTTACTGATCATATAGGTGCTAACTGGAATAGAACAATCCTAAGTGTATTTTGGGTATAAATTTGTTGTATGGTGCATGAATTTGAGCAAACTATTCTCTTCTTAGACCCAATTCACCGAGCTGGGTATGTTAGTTTGTCGGACTACACTCGATCTACCCATCGCTCAAGTCTATTGATTAGTGGGCGGGACAGTGTGTATTGTGCACCATGAAAACAAAAATAATTCTCTTTTCCCGCATTTGATGTCTCTCCGACAAAGTTTACATGTTATGTCTCTCGAATCACAATGTTTTTTACTCAAACTAGTTCTACGGTCTGCTGGCTACTTCGAGGCTAGACCCGCCCTACTCGATGAATTCAGACATGGCAATTTGCATGCATCTTGAGGATCGATTAAAAATCGAGGCTCGGACATGCTGTATTATTGAAAAGGAGGTCACATTTATGGAGAAGTGGGAATTGAATGATGCCTTATGAACCGGATCGCAATCGAGTGCTAGGATCCTAAGCGCCAAGACATGATGCACTTTGAACGAGGGAAATGAAAAGGACAAATGAGAAGTCAGCTGCAAAGTGAGAAAAAAGCGGTGGTCCTCATCAATTCCACTCGGAGTCATCACTTGCCGCCCAACTATGCCCCTTCGACAGAGAGTCTGGTGTTTTCATGCTTCGAATGCAAGCATGCTTAACATGAATTGATGGATTGATCGGCACGTGTGCGAATGCAATCATAGAGAGAAATTCTTGATGTTATCTTCGATATGAATCTTAACTATCCAATTCACCTAGAATTCGAAGCAACAATCTTGATAAATCCACCATTGTAGATCCATAGAATCCAGCACGCTGGATTTTGCAAATTCCTGCTTTGAGGATACAGATTTCACGGGGAAGGACTTAGTGGGATCGGGGAATGGCCGATCGAAATAACTTAAGTATTTCGAGGTCACGCAACTGATCCAAAGGGGCTTGTTGGTGCAGCTTTCTTCTCCTTCCAATGAATCTTCTTGGCTTGAAGATGAAAGGAGAGAAGCACGTAGATTCTGCAATGGGTTCCTCCTTACATGGGTGCTCTGAAAATTTACATAGATGGATCTTTTCTCGGTGACTTTCAAAGATCATAGAGGAATCATTGTGGAAGGGATGGCTCAGAATATTCGATGCTTCTTCAGTGTAAGGAACTTCATGTCTCGATTGACCAATCTCTCCTTCTCTTTCTGTCCACGTCAAGCGAACCGGGCCCAACGTACGAGTTCTCTTCCTTGTGATTGGGCTTCTTATCCTCCTCTACAACTTTGGAACATTCTATGCTCTGATGTAAGCGGGCTGTACTCGGCTACTTTTACTTGAATGAAATTAAGGCAAAGGCATGTCGACCAAGAAAAGATACAAGATGAGCAACTCATGACTATGTACACGATTAGCAAGTCAAGTTTCCTTGTGTAAATGTCTAGTCTTCCTGCGTTGAGAGTCAACCAACTTAGGTGGCCCGTTCTCTTTTTGACGGCGGCCTTGTTCCGATTCTCTAGGGCATCTCGACCACACCCCATTGCAGTCATGTCGATGGCTGAATTATCGATCGGTTTCAACGGATCAAATGCCTTGAGGGTTCAACGGATCAAATGCCTTGCATTGCTCCCTCGTAGGGTTTGGCTTAATTACAATCTCCATAACGTGATGAGCCAACTGTTCCGCCCCTCTTTGATGTCCAAGGGCCAGGACATGTGATCTATTCACGTCGACCTATATAATTCTCATAATATAAAACATCATCCAAGTATAGAAAATTACCCTCTATAAACGACATTTTGAGGGGTTTGTCAATTTAATAGTCAGAAGACGTTTCTTCCAATATGACACGGATTTGTAAGATAATATGGGGAGGAAAAAAACCCTATTTCTTTTTTTTGCAAATTCATGAGCTTATAGTCTATTTATTAATTCGAAAGCATACACGAAGCTTAAACCAAGGTGATCAAATTGAACATGGACGCGCAAGTCCAGCATATTTATATTCATTAGCCTTATTAATTAGATCGATGGCCGCTGCTAATAGGAGTGAGATTTCGATAAGTACAAATAGGGAACTCCACAGCTGGGCTTTGGACGGCAACTACAATGCAGGAATGGGAAGCATTTTCCCTGTCCGGACGAACGGAAGAGACAGCTTTTAGGTTCGCTCAGAACCATTTCATTCAAACCTCCAAAACATTGCCTTTTCCACCAGACCATGTGTTTCACCATTTCAAGAAAGCCCACCAGGAAGGAACTGAGGAAGGAGAAGGAAAAGAAGAGGAAAGCGAAGCAAAAGGAGAAAGAGAGGGAGGCCAAGGAGGAGGAGGAGAGCAAGAGGGAGGAAAAGGAGAAGAGGAGGGAGGCCAAGGAGAAGGAGGAGAGGAAGAGGGAGGAAAAGGAAAGGAAGGAAAAGGAGAAGAGGAGGCGAGAGAAGGAAGAGCAAAGGAAGAGGGCGTCGCGGCTGGAGGAGCTGAGGAGGAAAGAGGAGAAGGAGAGGAAGAAACGGGAAGAGTTGAGAAGGAAGAAGGAGAAAGAAAAGACACAGAAGGTCAAGCATAGATTTCGCAAGAAACGAGCCTAGTCTTTACACTCTTAGGCTCCATTTATTTTGCAGAAATTGAGTAGTTTGAAAACATTTCCTAAAAATAATCTCATGTATCACTTGAATAATTAGTCAATAAAAAATATTTTCATTACCGATAATAATTTGTGTCTAAACATTTAGTTTTTGCTCATTTATTTTTTTAAGTGATTTTCTAAATCACTTTTTTTTCCGCGAAACAAAAGGAGCCTTAAAAGAGCCATGTCCGTACTCATGAAATATTTTTACATAAGCACATGTGGTGCATATCTTTTTAGTTATAATCTTGTGCTTCATACGGCTTTATACTTGTCTATTCATTTCGTTTCTTATATGTAATAATTAGTAGTAAATTACATCATAGACAAATCACCATTATATTTTTTTTTTTCGATGAACTCCAACTTGTTTGACGAACATGTAAGAATTTTCTTGAATTTTCTTTAGAATGGATTTTTTTAATTAGTTTGGATGGTTAGATGTCCAATCCAAAAATTTTATCTAGTCGGTGGAGGGGGACTATGTGTATGTAAGGCACATCATAATCATGTATTTAAGTGATGTGGAATTATACTTAATATTGGTGATTCCTATAAAGAGGTGAATTGGCACTTTTTTAATTGCTAACGAAACTCAAGAAGTTAAGGGGATAGGTGTAAAAAGTTTCTCTAGACAGGTTTATTTAAGACTAAATTACTACATACATTGGTTTTCAAAAACATTATACTCAAGCGGCTTTATATTTATTTGACAGAGCGAATAGTGATAATTCTCAAATCAATGGTGGATAAAACCACTTGTGTGCTCCATTTTTTTTTCTTATTTTAATACCCCATTTCAGAAGATTACTAGGGACCGCATTTGAGAGTATTCATGTTTGATCATTTATGTTAATGTTGAATAAGTTTTGAAATATGGATCCTTCAAAGATGATAATTTTATTGAATTTACTCAAAAATCTTTTGAGATCATGACACGCCACATCGTCATTAGAATTAATGTAACTTTGTTGTATCCTAATTTTGAGGAGATAAATTCTAATGTTCAGAGTTGTAATAATATGAATATAATATCAAATGAAACTTAAATTTTCTTTAAATTGCAAGACAAAGCAAAACAAAAAGGTGCGAAACTGCTGAATCTACGGCGGCTAAACAGTGTATTTCCTTTCTTTTCTATTTGACATCTTATATTACCGGTCTTGAACAAATGATAGTAATTCAACATAATTTTTCTAAGTGGATATTAAAGTAGACCACATTGAGATTTGTAAAAGATGAGCTATATGGGAATTGAATACTATTCTAGAGCATTCAGTTGGGAGATCTCTACCTTTAGATTGAGAAAAGATTTACGATTGTAATTCGAGGAGTATTTGTATCTAGAGAGATCTCCAGTAATATTTATTTCCAATATAGGCTTATCTGTTACTGACATATTTCGAATTTCAAATCAATTTAAATGACATCTGTTATATTTAACACTATTTTGAATTTAGTTTGTTATGATCTTTTAACAGATTTTGATTTTGAGATTTTTATTCACGTGTTGATATTATCTCGAACATTTTGAAATGCATGTACATATGAATTTTAAGATCTATTAATTTTTATGATACACATTCTTTATGATTTTTATATAAATCTTAGAGATTGATATTATTTTGTAAAACTCATTTGCATGCGAATCAAATAAAGTAATTTTTTATATGAGACTGAGAAACACTACCATTAATATACGAAAAAAACAAATTACGATAAGCAAAACCAACCATATTTAAGCATATTTGCATAAACATATTACCAAAGAAAATTCACATAGGCAAAAGCAATGAAAATGAACACTTCTCATAAGCTAATGAATGAAAGATAAATCGAACAATCTCATACGCTAATGAATGAAAGATAAATCGCACAAAGACTAACGATAACTGCAAAGCCAGCACCAGTACTGAGTGAAAACGATCCGGATTTTAAATTTGTTGGCGCTGGTGCCGAAGCTTGACTAAGCCCTCCTTCGGCTGGGGAAGATAGAGCTGGACTCTTGGATTTTGGCAGTGATGAGATCGGTGACTTAGGCGATGGAACGGGTATCTTAGTTGCTGGCGGTGTCGGAGCTGTCTTTGTCCTTGGCGATGGAGCGACACTCTTTGTTGGTGGCAATGGCGATGGGGTCGGAGCTTTCGTTGGCGGCGACACCGGTGTCTTTGGAGATGGTTTTGGCGACTTAGCTGCATTAATAAATAAATTATGTCATTAATATAATTTTACCAAATAAAATGAATCGCAGTTTTTCAGAAAATAAAGAGGATATTTCTATGTTTACCTGGAGGAGTTCCTGCAGAATCCGAAACTGCACGTAAAATTGCAAGAAAAGTTATTGTTATCAATGAAACATACATAAAACTTTAAGATTTTTGAAAAGAAAAAAAAAACACAATTACGGCCACAAATTTTCGAGACGGAAAAGTGAGAAACTCCGCAATCAGAAGGCAGTTTGACAGCTCTTGTCATGTTCAATTTGATGCCCATTTGAGGGGCAAGTTTTATGGCTTGACAGATACAATCGGCATCTGCTTTTAACACCGACTTGAAGCCCGAGCAACATGAAGCAACTGGCTTCGTGGCAGCACCGCCCGCGCTCAAGAAGGATATGCAGTCGATCATGCCATAAATGATCTGAGAACAACTGGAATTTGATACGAACGACGAACACGAAGGAGGAGGAAGATCTCGCTGGCAATTCGCCAACGCCAGAACAGAAGAAGTGAAGATGAAAATGAGGTAACAAACTCTCGCCATCTTCTCACTCAACGAAAGAGGGAGTAGAGCTACAGAGTACTCCCTTTATAGAGGAATTTGAGAAGGGATTTCGCAACTTAACTTCAGTTGGAATTTAGATTTGCGAAATCTGGATTTTATCACAATTAGGATGAAATCTTCCAAGAATATAGCATAGAAATGTTTTTGTTATTTTTTTGGTATGCTTAATGTATAATTTAATCAAATTTAAAATGCATATGAAACTCTTAAATCTTCCCAATACGACACTCTATTATATAACACAATTTTATATCATAACGAAAGATAAATGAATTATCAAAGTCGAGACAAATATCTGCATGTACATTTATCTGTCCATTTATATATCTAAAGTATCGTAGATAATAGAAGACTTCCTATTTATCAGTAAAAAAAGTCGATTAATTGCAACTGTATTAAAAATATTTATTCATAGAAAAAAGATATATCCATTATAATATCTCCTATACTTCAATTTTTTTCTATTTAGATTATCATTCTCTAAAATCTCAACAAATCAATTCATAATTCTATTTATCAACAGCAACAAAAATCCAACAATATCAATCATCCGACAAGTTTCGTCTTTTATTTTAAAGAAAATTATTGATAAAAACTACAAAAACAAAAACTTCATGGATCTACTGTTTGTGTAATGAAAATAGAAGGTGATGTTGCACAAATTTGATTATAAATGATTATTTAATGATATAATTTCTTAATATATAGTAAAAGCCAACTCGATACGAGCCTCGCATGCGTATTTTCTAGCGACCATTGTGACAAATACTTTTGGAAAAAATTTGAATGATATTTATCACTTAATTTGTAGAGTTAACAATACTACTAAGGTGAACTTTTTCAAAAGCTAAAATTAATTTATAAACTCAAATCTAAATATTTATGAATAACATATCATCTTCCATAAAAGGTGTGGTATGAATTTTCCAAAAGCAACATTGTGTAAATGATATTTATAAAATAATAACAAATTTGTGTGTACAAAAAAGAATTTAATAAATTACTATGCAACATCTGGAGAAAATTGTCCAAAAAGTCCCAAACCTATTATAGTTTTGTCAATTGAGTCATAAATATTTTAATTTTGCCAATTGAGTTATAAACCTTTCAATTTTGTCAATTGAGTCACAAACCTTTTGAAAATTTGCCAATTGAGCCCATCTGATTCACTAACGTGGACGTCAGATGAACTCAATTGGCAAATTTTCAAAAGACTTATGACTTAATTGGCAAAATTGAAAGGTTTATGACTATATTGGCAGAACTGTAATAGATTTAGGACTTTTTGGATAATTTCCCCCATATATTGCATCGTAATTTATAAAATTCTTTCTGTACACACAAATTTGTTACAATTTTATAAATATCATTTACACAAGTTGCTTTTGGAAAATTCATGCCACACCTTTATTGAAGATGATATATTATTCATAAATATTTAGATTTGAGTTTAGAAAATAATTTTAGCTTTCTAAAAAGTCCATCCTAATATTATTGTTAACTCTAAATTAGGTGATATATATCATTCAAAGTTTTTTCAAAAGTATTTGTCACATTGGTTGCTAGAAAATATGCATGTGATGCTCGTATCGAGTTGACATTGGCTTTTTCTATATATTAAGCAATTATTTCATTAAATAATCATTTATAATCAAATTTGTGCAACATAACATACCATTTTCTTTATACAAACAGTAAATCCACAAAGTTTTTGTTTTTGTAGTTTTCATCAATATTTTCTCTAAAATAAAAAACGAAACTTGACAGATGAGTGATATGGTTAGATTTCGTTTATTGTTGATAAATAGAATTTTGAATTAACTTGTTGAGATTTTAGAAGATGATAATCTAAACAGCAAAATCTGAAGTATAGGAGATATTGTAGTGGATATATCTCTTTCCTATGAATAAACATTTTTTATAAAGTTGCAATTAATCGACTTTTTTCCTAATAAATAGGAAAGTCTTCTGTTATCTACGATACATTAAATATATAAATGGATAGATAGATGTACATGCAAATATTTGTCATGACTTTGATAATTAATTTATCTTTCGTTATGATATAAGATTGTGTAATATAATAGAGGGTCGAGTTGGAAAGATTTAACCACGTGCATTCTAAATTTGATTAAATTATACATTACGCATATCAAAAAAATTAACAAAAATATTTCTACGCTATATTCTTGGAAGATTTCATCTTAAATGTGATAAAATCTAGATTTCAAAAATCTAAATTCCAACTGAACTCGAGTTGCGAAATTTTGGCATTGGCGCTTCGTGTTCGTCATTGTCGTTCATATTAAATTCTAGTTGTTCTCGGGCTTTAAGTCGGTGTTAAAAGCATATGCCAATTGTAGCTGTCAGGCCATAAAAGATGCCCCTCAAATGGGCATCAAACTGAACATAATGAAAGCCGTTGAACTGCCTTCTGATTGCGGAGTTTCTCATTTTTCTGTCTCGAAATTTTGTGGCAGTAAATGTGTTTCTTTTTTCTTTTCGATATTCTTAGGGTTTATGCCTTTTTCATTGATACTAATATGGCCTTGCACTTTTTTGGGAAAAATTGGTAGAATTAAGTACGGCCATCCAGGCATTTTATTTGGCAAAGCTATATTAAGAACTTAATAATGCAGCTAAGTCGCCAAAACCATCTCCAAAAATGATGGTGCCGTCGCCCACAAAAGCTCCCACTCCAGCTCTGACACCGCTAGCAAGACACCCGTTCCATCGCCCAAATCACCGGTCTCATCACTGCCAAAATCGAAGAGTCCTACTCCATCTTTCCCAGTCGCCAAAGGAGGGCTTAGTCAAGCTCCGGCACCAACCGACAAATTTAAATTCCATATCATATTCCCTCATTCCCAGTCGCCAAAGGAGGGCTTAGTCAAGCTCTGGCACCAACCGACAAATTTAAATTCCATATTGTATTCCCTCAATGCTTGCTTTGCAGTTATTATTAGCCTTTGCACGATTTATGTCTTTTTCATTACAGCTTGACTTTAGATTTTCAGTTCTTGGAAGTTGTCATTTTCATTGCTTTGTAACATGTTTATGCAAATATGCTTATATATGGTTGCTTTTGCTTATTGTAAATTTGGTGTTTTGGTAGATAAATGTTGTGCCAAACATGTCATTTAAATTGATTTGAAATTCGAAATATGTTAGGTAACAGAAAAGCCTACATTTGCGGCCTTAGAAATTTTTTCCTAAATCAACCTTACTCACCAAACTCACTAAAGAAGTTGGAATTCAATTACTTAATACAAATAAGGAGAGAAGACCCCTATATATACAAATACCTTTTCGATTATAACCATAGATCTCTTCTCAATCTAACGGTAAATATTATATCTCTCCCATCTCCTAGCTACCCAGGAATGCTCTAGAATAGTATACAATTCCCATATTGCCCATTTCTTTTACAATTCTCAATATGTTCTACTTTAATATACACTAGAAAAATTATGTTGAATTACTATCATTTGTTCAAGACCAAATCAAAAACAAAGGAAACACATTGTTTAGCTACGGTAGATTCAGCAATTTCGCACCTTTTTGTTTTGCTTTGTCTTGCAATTTAAAGAAAAATTAAGCTTCATATGGGATTATATTCATCTTATTACAACAGTGAACATTAGTATTTACCTCCTCAAAATTAGGAGACAACAAAGTTATATTTATTCTAGCGATGATGTGGCGTGTCATGATCTCAAAAGAGTAAATTCGATTAATTTATCATCTTTCAGTGATCTATATCCCAAAACTTATTCAACATTAACATAAATTATCAAACATGAATACTTTCGAATGCGGTCCCTAGGGGTATTAAAATAAGAAAAAATAGAGCACACAAGTGGTCTTATCCAACATTGATTAGAGAATTATAATTATCCTCTCTCTCAAATGAGTAAAAGCCACTTGAGTATAATATTTTTGAACACCAATGCATGTTGTAATTTACTCTTAAATAAACCTGGCTAAAGAAACTTTTTGCACCTTTCCCATTATGTCCCTTGACGGCCACTAGGCGATGCCGGCGAGGGCTGTAGGGCCCTCACCCGATCTCGCCCAGATCTGGGTGAGGCCATCGTGGCAGCAACCGTGTGATACCCTACCCTTGCCGGGCACAAGCAAAGGCAGCCTCGCAGGCTGGCCTCGCCCAGTGGCCGGCAAGGGTCGGCGGTCGCTCCTCGGTCATGATAAAAATAAATTAAAGAAGTAAAAAGAAAATAAAAATAAAAAATTCAATAATTTATTAAAAAATTATTAAAAATTATCCATATCAGTGAATTCTAGCCAAAATTGATCGAATGGACTCAATTGAAAAAATTCAAATAACAATTCGCATAACGTGGATGAGAGATATTTAAATTCTAAAAATTCGAAAGATGTTGTGAATTAAATGATACAATTATTTGTGTAAAATAACAATTATAAACAATGAACCAGAGTAATCAACCTAAGTCGCATACATGGATTTTTCTGAATACTTTTACAATATTTAAGGTAGAGTTGGTTTGATTTTCTATTAGAGATATAAAAGTTTGTGGATTGTATATTGCTCTCCTTTGAGTTCCAAATACGTGAAACAATCGCATACTTGCCCGCAAGAGAGATAAAGGAAGAGGATTCATATCGTTTTTACATCAATAAATTCATAAATGGAAGACGCAATAATTCAATTGATTTAGCTTATTTACATAATTCAATTGATTTAGCTTATTAGAATGTCCAATCGAAAAAAGCTTGAATCAATAGATGGAGAGAGGATGTATGTATATAAAACACATTATAATTGCGTATTTAAGTGGTACCGGATCATACTTAACATTGATGATTCCCTTATTATCAATGAGGTGAATCGACACTCTTTTGATTGCTAATATGAGAAGTGTAAAGTGTTTCTTCATACATGTTTATTTTGAGAGTCAGTATAGAAAACACCGACTATATATAAAGAACTTTTTACACAA